TCAGCCGCTGTTGAAACTGATCAGTTTCAGCAGCAGCTGAATCTGGACGCTAGTTCCGACTTACATACAGATTCAACTTAAGAACAAACCTACAGTCCCTATCTTGTACGTAACCCGGGGACTGCCTGTATACACTAAGCATACATGCATATCTTACCATATATTCTAGCTCTATATCTAGAATATAGATATAGATTCTATATCTTACTATATACTCTAGAAATGTCTGTGTCTAAAGTTGTTCTTTCCCCCGGGGTAACTTGCATACTGAACCCCTCAGCCCTACCCCAGAACAATTATTTAAATTAAAAACAAAAAACTTATTTCAGTTAAGAATCCAAGCATTGCCAGGTAAATCTTCTAGTGCTATATAAAGCATAGTCAGTTGTATAAATAACCAGCACTAATTGCTTTGACCACTATCATCTAGATAATGCTACCTCAGCTGTATTGAGTCAGACTTTTAAGTCTGGTTGAGCAACGCATAGCACTAGAAACAAGGAGAATAGACTAGACAAGTATATCTTAAGCCCCTTTGAGGTTCCCTCATTTCCATAGCAGCTGGGGCCCAAATTAGACCCTACCCAAGATATAGCATCTTCAGAATATTTCAGCCCACATTAAAAGGCTGTAGCATGTCCCAGGGATGTTACCAGCTCAGCTCGTGTGGTAGGATAGCCAGGAACAGGTGGTATAGAGACGGATGTGCCACCTCTATGCCACCTGGATATTTCTATACAAAGGGGCTGTGTCTACACTGGGCCACTTATTCCGGAAAATCAGCCGCTTTTCCGGAATAAGCTGCGAGCTGTCTACACTGGCCCTTGAATTTCTGGAAAAGCAACAATGCTCTACTGTACAAAATCAGCCGCTATTCCGGAAAAACTATTCTCCCGCTCGGGCATAAGTCCTTATTCTGGAACACTGTTCCAGAAAAGGGCCAGTGTAGACAGCCCAGTAGTCTTTTCCGGAAAAAAGCCCCGATCGCGAAAATGGCGATCGGGGCTCTTTTCCGGAAAAGCGCGTCTACATTGGCCACAGACACTTTTCTGGAAAAAGGGCTTTTCCGAAAAAGCAGCCTGCCAATATAGATGCTCCTTTTCCGGAAAAACTGAAAACGGAATAGTATTCCGTTTTAAGCAGTTCCGGAAATTCATGCCAGTGTAGACACAGCCAAGGAGAATCCCTAGATACAATAGTAGGGCTCTTGTAACACAAAGGGGACGGAGAAGAGATTGACAACAATTAACAATTTTTTACTCCTGTTTTTTGCTTTTGTTTTAATTCTCAACATTCAAATAATGTGGGGTTTTCTATTTACATGTCAATGCTTTTGAGGGTGGTGGAGGGTTAAAGAAGGAAGTATGAAAAAGCCATTAATTTAAACTATGCTGGAAGGTGGTATTTTGGGTACAAAACATTTTCCTTTTAATGTGAAATTCCATCTGTCCCAGAAACTGGTGCACATGGGGAATGCAATTCCAGAACATTCACAAAGATGAAACTTCTAATCCTTAACTACTGTAGCGTGTTCCTCACAACCCTGGTTCTTTAAACCAAACATGAAAGATCAGTTGCTCAGGACATCATCTCAGAAAAATTTGGGGAGGGGGCGATGTGTCAGCAGATAGAACATTTTACATGATTATATTATATCCTGTAATGTCAGAGGGAGAAAGGCATTACAAGTGGAACACATAATGGAACATACAGCACTATAAAAAGTGGAGGTGGTAAAAGCCCTCCTTGCCCCATAGTAAATAATGCCTATTTCAATTGCCTTCAGTGGTGTTACTTGAACATAATAGAAGGCTTGAACAAAAAATAAAAAATGGTTTTGAGTGCTAGTAGTTTTTCAGTGCTGAATAATAATAGGTGGTTGGGTTTTTTCTCTCACTTATCTGTGTTATTCTGAGACCAAACATGAAACAGAAAATGTTTTAAGAAAGTTATAAGCAACTGAAAATAGGAGGTAGAATGGAAATAATTTCTTAAATTTGGCCCTGATTCTTCAAAGCATATAGAGGTATGTTTACTTAGGAGTTAAGGAGACTCAGTTAAGCACATTATTGATAGGGATGGATTTAAGCATGTATATAAATTCCTTGTTGAAGCAGAGCTTTAAATTATAGCATTTGTTACTGCTATAAGAGGACTCAGACACAAAACATTACTGAAGCATAAACGTCTCGTCTCGGAGCAGCCATGTTAGTCTGTAACTAAAAAAATGTAAACAAAGGCTCTGCAGCACCTTAGAGACTTAACAAAAATATATAAATAGTATCATGAGCTTTCATGGGCACAACCCACTTCTTCCGATGACAAATATGAAGCAAGGGGCACAACGTTTGAAAAATAAAGCAGAAAAAGAAGGGAGAGGGGAAGAAAAAAGAAAGGAAAAAAACCTGTCAACTGAAGTGTCCTCGCTAAATGCGGCTAATAGAGTAGGCTGTAAAGTGCCTGATACTTATCCTTTGATGTCATATGCTAAATGCGGCTAATAGAGTAGGCTGTAAGTGCCTGTTACTTATCCTTTGATGTCATATGGTTGATGAATATAATGGCCCACCCAGTTCATATTATGGCCTGAACAAAGACTGCTTCAGGACCATCGTTTTTAAGTTTTTTACTGAAGTTTGTATGTCTGATTTACCTGTAGTTCCTGAGGCTTTTGTGCCGCCTTCTGTCACTTCAATCTTTGCTTTATGAATAGCTTCTGAAATGTAAAGATTGCCTTGCTCTAACAAAACAACCAAAAGTAAGTATTAATAGTTATTACTTATTTATTGTAAAATCAACACAACCTTTTTTTAAAAAATATTGAGATACTTCTGTCTTTGCTTTTCTCTTATATTGCTGCTCATTTCCATGTTACAGTATTGGAATTCATTCTGAAATCCTGTAGCTACCAGACATTTCATCCAGGGTAAGTAAGACAGTTTTTCAGTTACTAAATTCAAAGATTAATTTAGACCAGTTAATTCAACCAGTCACCTAGGTCTGATAGCATGTATTGGCTATTAAATAGAGAACAGATAATGCATTTTGCTAACTGTCAGGGTGGTTAACCACTGGAATAAATCGCCTAGGCTATGGAAACTCCATCACTGGAGGTATTTAAGACCAGGTTCAATGGACATCTATCAGGGATGATCTACCGTGCTTGGTCCTGCTGTGAAGGAAGGGGACTGGACTCAATGACGTCTCGAGGTCCCTTCCAGTTCTAGGATTCCAAGATTCTTTGATTTTATCTTAACCAAAAATGATGTATGTAAATAAAAATAATTTTCAAAGATAATTTCTGAATAATTATCAAAATAAGCATATCTCTGTTACTGTCAAAGCCTTTTAACCTGTGTATTCCATTGGTGACTTCTTAGGACATTCTTAAGTTACAGAATAACCAAAATTCGAATTTTTAATACACTTTTAACTAGCATGATGTTTGCTATGGTATCAGTTTATGGAGTTACTAATTGCAGGTGTTGTTTCTAATGCTTTGAGACAAACAGCAGTACACATCATAATACTTCTAACAAATTGCACTTATTTCTGCTGTTCTCTACAAATGCTCATTGTAAACCACTGCAATCCCTCCTTTTATCAAATTTAAGATTAACCTTTATCAAATTTAAGATTAATCATTGTAAACGATTCCCAAAATGGTATTAACTCTTTTGATTGAATTATTTTGTAAAATAAGTCCAATTTTTATGGAATGATTAATTTTCCAAATATTTTACCCAATCTACATAGTAGATACAAGTTTCCTTTTGTCACAGAGGTCTTCCACTGATCTTTCCTCGATGTTAAAATAAATTTTCTTCAAAAAGATGGGGGTGAGAAATTTTCACGCATGATAAGATTTGGTTTTACTCTGCTTGTCTGTTCATAATTTAAATGTGCTGTAGGGAGGTGATTGGGAGGAGTGAGCATGGGCCTTGGCATTGTAAGAGTGTGATTTCTAATCCTGACTCTGTCACTGTGGCATTGGGCAAGTCAAGTTGTGGGTCTGGGTCTCAGTCTTCCCTTCTGTACAGTGAGGATATTATGCCTTACCTCACAAAGGGGTTTTGAGGGTTAATCATTTAATATTATTTTGCTACACAAACAGGTCATTTGAGAGGCAGTGATTAGGAAGAACAGGGCACATAAGGTAACATCTGACTTCTGTTCCCTTGCGTACCATTGGCTTGCTGTGTGACCTTGGACAAGTCACTTGCCTTTTTTCTCATGTCTCCATTTTCTCCATATGTGGCAATATTCTCCCAGGTTTTTGAGGCATGGTTTGAAGTTCTTATGTAAAACACTACTAAATTTTCTACAGTCAAACCTCAAAGTTACAGACACCTTGGAAAAGAGGTGGTTTGTAACTCTGAAATGTGTGTAACTCTAAAGAAAACGTGGTGGTTTTCCCAAAAGTTTACAACTGAACATTGACTTAATATAGCTCTAAAACTTTACTTTGCAGAAGAAAAATGCTGCTTTTCCTTAATTTTTTAGTAGTTTGCATTTAACACATTACTGTCCTATACTTGCTCTTTTTTTAGTCTCTGCAGCTGTCTGATTACATACTTCCAGTTCCAAACAAGGGGCATGGTTGACTGGTCAGTTCGTAACTCTGGCGTTCAGAACTTATTAGATTCTACTGTATTTATTACTGTTTGAATAATAATATTCATATTGAAACACATTTTCTTAACTCAGTTCCAGATTAATGAGGTGAAGGTATATGGTGAGAATAGAAAATTTAATGGTTCCTTCTGGGTTTACAGTCTATGAATGTTATTAAAGGTGAATTGATCCATAGTGTTTTTCAGCAACCTCAGTGGTCTTGTAAACGCTGAATAGCTGGAAGCCTGTATCTCCACAGACAGCTCACTGATTGGACAATTCTAAACTGCTGTAAAAACCTGAAAGTGAAATAGCTATAAAAAAATTAAATAACTATGTAACTTATGTGTAGATCAAGTAACACATGACTAGAGCACTGCACAGATACAAAATTAGTATCTGCATCTGCAAAAATGATCCACAGATATCCACAGATGCAGATACCTGGAGTTATAAAATGGATATCTGCAAATTAACTGGTTCTAAATCCAAAATTGGTATCCGCATCAGTATTAGCAAAAATGAGGTGCAGCTATCTGCATCCACAGATACGTATATATGTGAATTTGCAGGACTTTACACATGACCATAGGGCAGAAGTTCCCCATAAACTTTTAGGTCAAGTTAGGGCTATGCTGCAGTTTATAATGAGCACATCAAAATTGATTCAAAACCCAACATAACCAAAATATATCACAGCTCTATAACAATTCAGAGAACATCTGCAGGAAAATTTAAATGTTCCAATTTGCTTACCTTATGGAGTACTAATTGCTAGTAAGAACAGCATCAGAAGGCTAGCAAAAATAGAAGATTGATTTCTGTTCTTCTGTCTAGCTATGATTTGCTGAGAGACCCTGAATAAATCACTTCACTTAACCTTTCTTGTATCAATCACATCAGTAACTTTTTGACAGCTAGAATTAGTTGAAAGATTCAACCAAACCTCTAATGTCTGGTCACCTATTTTAAGAATTTTGTTTAAAAGGATTACTGGGCCCAGTCTGGCCTGTCAGTGTATAAATCTAGAGTAACTCCAGAGATGTGTAATGAATAGAGATTTTAGATCTGAATCTGGCCCCTATTTTCTGAATAATCATTTTGCATATGTGTAACACAATTGGAATGAGGCTTACTGTCTTCGTGGAGAGGCACTGCACTGAATCTTATAAACATGGAACAAAGTTTAAGGGATAAGAGAGCACAGTCTTTGCTTCCTTCTTGTTCTTCATCTTTCACCATATAGACAACACTTGGGTAAAAATTCAGAGAGGAATCATCCAGAGACTCCAGCTGGCAGGAGTAGGAACAGCCATTGAAGGGACTTTTGGACATTCACCAAACTTATGGGTTTGACTTGACTTTCTGAGCCCAATGCTCATTGGCTGCTTGCTCTAACCCTCCTTCTACCCCTCTCTCACCTGCCTCTCTTACTCTTTTCTCCCAGGTTCCCTTCATCCACCTTCCCTTCAGAGTCCCCCTCTCCCTTCGCTTTTCTTTCCACTTAGTTTATCCCTTTCTAGTTAATCTCTTCCCCCATACCACCACCAAAAAACAGTGGAACTAAGTGCCATTTGCCACATTTGCATTGTTCACTTTGTGTATTCTATCTGGTCCCCCGCATTGTGTCTGTATTGTCCATTTAGACTGTAAGGTCCTCAGAGCATGGACACAGCTACTCAGTGTTCATACAGCATCTACCACAATAAAACCCTATCCTTGGTTGGTCCTTAGGCACTACAGCCACTCTCCAAGTTATGAGCAAGTTACGGACCAACACTTGGTCTGTAACTTGAACTGTTCATAACTCGGACCCCATTGAGTTTCACGCGATCGCGCTGTTCGTAACTCGGGGACCGCCTTTACAACCGCTCCATGAGAGCTTTGGTCGTAAGTGCGAACAGTCGTAACTCGACCATTCACAACTCGGGGAGCGGCTGTACTGTAATAAATGCGATTGATTAATACTGAATTAAATGTTGAATTCTATTGGTAAGTGGCCAACCAGTAACTGATTGTCCCTTCACTAATTCTAGTAATAAATAAGATTTCTTGGTATGAAGGGCAACTATCGAGTGCGTTGGGAACAATAAATTAATGCTTGGTCAACTAAGCAATTCAAAGAAACTCCCGCAAAAACATGTTGAGCAGGAAGAATCATTGGTAAAACAAAATAGAATTCTGATTCCTGGTCTACAGCAGACCTGGAAGGCTGGTTTAAGGTATGCATCTCCAGCTACTTAAATACTATAGCTGGAGACAACATACCTTAAGCCGAGCTTGGCACCATCTTCACAGTTGGAGGTTGATGGGAGCAAACTAGATCCTCTAAATCAAACACCAGAAGATTGATCTTCAGCATGACAAGTGAAGACATGGCCTCAAAGTGACACTTAGAACTATCCTCAGCAGTCTTTTTGTAAAACTCCAACTGTAACTCCCACGTTCAATATTTATTATGGGTAAAACTCTGCTTGTCATCTTTGTGCCTGAGCTTGCAGGTCGACTCAGTATTATGCCAGAGAGGCAGAGGAGCAAAGGGGACAAAGGGATGACCCCATTAAATAATAGGTAAAATCTGAGGAAAAAGAGCCACTTGTGCTTTTTGATTAAGAAAAATTTAATGGGTGTAAGTCCTAAACAATACAGACACAGCTTCCTGGTATGCTTTGATCCATTGTAGTTCATTTTCTTTAAGCACTTATGTATATAGCTGTTTGTTTATAATGTGAACTATCAGTGAACTTTATCCAGCACAATAACACCTCATTTCTAATTAAGCATCCTATGCAATTCATGATCACATCATAACGTATTCAAATGTAAGGGGAGTAAAATGCAAATCTGTGTCCTGAGCTTTGGCCCATGGAAGTTACTTTTCTGATCAGGAGCCTTCTCTAAAGCCATTCCAACTGTACCAGCAGATCCTGTGGCCATGCCTCCATGTAATGACAATTGCACACTGACCAGAAGCATGTTAGAAATGCTATAAAATTTCCATTTAAGACTTCAAATGCAGGTGCCCGAATTAAGAATTGTATACCTAGCTGCAAGTGATACATGTCAAAGCACATAAACCTTTATGGAGTCCTTTAATATTAAATCAGGATAAAGTTTTCCAGTGAGTAGAAAAACATCCTTTTGAGACACAGGTCGCCAGTTTTTATCTTAGCATATGGTTGTGGGGTATTGTGCTTGTGGACTGGGTGGTGGTATGCTGATTGTTGGATTGTAGCAGTGCAGAAAGGAGATTACAGGCACCTGTGAGTGACCTCAGGACTCAGAATAAAGAGGTCTGTTGTTACATTGGTGTCACTGACTGTGGAATGACTATTTGCTTGAGCTTTGTCTATACTACAGAGTTTTTTTTGGAAAAAAACACTTCAAGCCTGTTTTTGTGCAAGAGAATCGAAAGAACAGAGGGGTTTTTGCACAATTGGTATTCCTCTTTCTGCGAGGAAGAAGCCTTTTTGCAAAAGAGCTCTTTCGCAAAAAAGCATGTGTAGACAGCGAAGAAGGGATTTTTGCACAAAAAGGGGAAAGAGAAGAAAGCACAGGTGTCCTGGTGGCCATTCTGTGCATACCAATCAGTGCTTACTTTTAAGAGAGCGTCCATGCAGTCTGGACACTCTCTTTCACAAAAGCACATCGCTTTTTCAATGTGTTTTTGCAGTGTGGATACTCTCTTGTGCAAGAAGTTTTTGTGGAAGATCTCTTCCGACAAAAGCTTCTTGTACAAAAAGCCTGCAGTCTAGACGTAGCCTTGATCTGCAGCAATCCTTGCAGACTTCACCCTGCACCCTAGCAAACACATTCTAGCAATGTTCAGCCTAGTTCACAAAAGCACATCGCTTTTTCAATGTGTTTTTGCAGTGTGGATACTCTCTTGTGCAAGAAGTTTTTGTGGAAGATCTCTTCCGACAAAAGCTTCTTGTACAAAAAGCCTGCAGTCTAGACGTAGCCTTGATCTGCAGCAATCCTTGCAGACTTCACCCTGCACCCTAGCAAACACATTCTAGCAATGTTCAGCCTCGCTGGTTTTCATCTCTCAAAATCTTCCCCTACCACTGCATTTTGCTTAATCCAAAATGCAGTAGTTTGAAAGAAATTTCAATTCTACAGTAGAGAATAGAATCTGGATTCTGTTTTAAATTTTCATTGTGCCAGAAGTATCATTCATGCAGAAGGATCTGCCTTTTTGAATGTCAGCTTACATCATATTAATGTCTACAACAATCTATACATGGAGTGATCATTTCCTATATAAGGAATGTTCTTACCTGAAATACCTTTAAAATCTGCCTTAGCTGGATCAAACATATCTGTAATTCCCAGGACAGGTAAAACCATTTTTAAGTCGAAGTGACTTTGAATTCTGAACCTAAAATTAACACAGTAGATTTTATTTAAATATATATGTGAACTTGGCATTTGCCCCCATTTGTGCTTGCTTTTTTAAAAATTGTAATCAATTTGGTTTAAGATAGAAACACATCTGCAAAACATTCGCTAGGAAAAAGAACATTGATGCACAAAACATTTTTCAGTGTTTCATTGGCATGGGGAATGTATTTCTGGAGGTATGTAATAAAGCTTTTCTGTACTTATTGATGTGCTAAGTACATCTAGGAAATACCCTCCTCTTTTTGCACCCACATGGTACATCCTGGCATTCTATTTATTCGAGAAATGCTGTTGAGTCGTGCAAATTCTGGCAAAAATGAAGGACTGGAGTGATAGACAGTGTGAACTTGCACTGTATACAGAAGAAATGCAGTGATTGGTGATAGTTGCTGGAGCTCCATTAAATATTTCTAATATTAAATACACATAGTAAAATGCTTTTAAATATTAAGACAACTTTTTTAAAAAGTATATAATAAAATGAAGCAAGAATGGGTACAAATAATTTTCTTCCCTCTAATTTTTCCCCTCAAACTTTTAAAATATTATTAGGAGTTGTAGAATCAAATTTGATATTTTTAAAGTAATGGCTTAATTATAGCATATAAGATGCATACATTATTAGGAATGCCCTATCCCACTTCTCCTAGCCAAAGATGGAGAGAGGGTACTCTGCTTTGCTAATGAAGTAATCAGGAGAATAAACTTGAAAGTGTCCTACTAAAAGGACCAATGTCCTATACATTGATTATGTTCACAATAAAGTATACAGCACAACTCTTAACAGTAACAGATACAGCTACAAAGGATGGCCATGTCCTGAATCACTTACCTAGGTAGAAAAATATCCATCTTCATTCTCTTTAAGCTGTTGACCCAAAGAGTGATGATTTTAGCTGAGAGGTGTGACTCAATCTGGGACAGAGATGTCGTCCTGTCACTAGGAAGCACCACAAACATGCTGACAGTCTCACCCAGATAAGGCAACTCGACTACACTGAACTGCTCCAGCGACAGAGTGTGGAACTGACCTACAAGTTGGAAAACATAATCCTTGGCATTACTAAAGGGAAACAACAACACTGAAGAACTAGATCATTCAAGGCACTAGTACAAGGATACAGAGCTTTTCACCACTGAGTGACTGACTTGAATACAGACCAAGTTGTTAATTAAGGTCACTGGCTCACATGAACTGAATTAATTGTCTCAATCCACTTCCGAGCAGGCAAGTGTCTAAATCACACATTTGCTAACATAAATAGCAATAACTGACCACCTCTGTGGCTGTCTCCATGGCCAATCCAATGAAGCATGGTGAATTAGTTTGTCTTCTCACCCTAATACTACTCCCTTTGGGTCAGGGTTGAGGAACATTGGTGAGTGTGGATGAGCGGGTGAATTTACAATGTGATTGATCTTGCTACAGCTCTTTTTAAATAAACAGATGACTTAGTTTTCCAGCTCCTTCAATGTAGCATCTTTCAGCAGAACTACACTTACTAGTGAAAAAATGAAAAGAAAAAACAGCTCCCATTTGACTAATCGAGAAGTACTTTGCCCAATGCTCTCATCCTTACACCAAATCAATTGCACAAGTTAAGTTGCTTTGAAGAAGCATGCAGTTTTATTGAACTACAAAGCATTTGGAACCTGTCAGACAAAAATCATGAAACCCGTACTGCAAAAAGGATACAACTTAATGGGCCTTCAAATGAACAGGGTACAGTATCCATTAATTCAAGTGTCAATAATAACCAGTTGTTGACTGTCACATACGTGCATGTAAAACTATTTTGCAGTGCAATATCACAGCCCTGCTAAACTCCTTTTCAGGAGCCAGTGTTCCAATGGAATAATGGCATGTCAAAGAACAATTCCTGCAACGGTCAGCACCGAGAAGGCAGTAAGTATAGATTGCAGTAAAGTGGTTTATGTGCACTATATGGAATAGCAAACCTCAGGCATAGAATACCCTTTACTAAATTATAGCAGCTGATGCTTTAGGAGTAGAGGGTTGTTGGCTTTTTTTTAACTTTATAATTAGTTCTATTTGCAGTCTCACAAATACTGATGTGTAACCATAATGTCTGCAGAAGTAATTGTCTGCATATCATACAAAATGTCAGTAAGGTTCAATTGGTAGTGCTCATTAGTTCTGAAAAGCATTGGGATATAGATTTCTACCCAGTATATCCTTTGCAATACAGGCAGTCCCCGAGTTACGCGGATCCAACTTATGTCGGATCCGCAGTTACGAACGGGGCTTTTCTCGCCCCGGAGGACAGGAGCGGCGGAACGCCCAGATGCACCTGGTCCGCCGCCCCCGTCCTCTGGGGCGAGAAAAGCTGCTCCCCGTCTCTCTGGTCTGCAGGGAGACCGGGAGCAAAGCCGCGGAGCACGCCCGCAGCGGGGCCGCGTGGGG